ATGATTATATTCATCAGCTTGGATATATTATCTGAATGTTTCGCCGCGTATATGATAGATAGAAGGATACTACCGACAAAGGCTTGACTAGCCATTTCTGGTTTATAAGTCATCATCCGCCAGCCATAAGAAACTCTAGGTTTTGAAGCGCCGAGGTTTGGAACCCGCGCCCTGCTTGTTAGAAGTCCAACGCCCTAACCGCTGAGCTTCGTCTTGTCGGCTGCGATTGGGTATATAAACTGGGGTAGTGGGGCACTCACAGATTATCTTACGGGACACACCCGTTCTGATGTGCCTTGGGACTCAGTCTCGATCCTCGCAAGCAGCCGCTCAGCGGTTGGTATATTTTAGGCAGAATACCATAACTGGCACTACCAGAACCCCGTTCAAACTGCACCTTCTGGGTTCTACAAAACCTCAAAAATTACAACATGGTTGAGCCTCCTTAAAAGTATGTCTAGATGTCTGAGCAGGCGATAAATTTGCTTGTCTGTAAGGATATCGGTCAAAATTTTATTTTCAAAGCAAACAGACAGTCCCAAGTGGTGAGGCAAAGAACCTGATCATTACTGCTGACTTTTCGTGTCTTCTGTAGATGACACTGATGGATGTATTTTATATCGTTTTCAGTACTGATTTTCGATCCAGAGATGAATAAACCAACTTCCTGTTCCACCTCTGTCCTCATAACAGCTACAAGCCCGCATATATGCGAGCAGGGGCTAGCGCGGACCAGCATTTGTTTAAGTTTTACAAAGTCCCGTCAGTACAATATTGACTGTCTATGCCTGGCCAATCGGTCGAGGAATTGCCCATCAGTAGTGCAGTGTATGGGACTGAAAGTGGTTTGGACAGCTGCGTAACTCTACCTCACTTTATTCGCCCTGATGCAAGTATTCAAATGAAAATAGGAGTAGTTTGTGTAACCCCTTGGTTTATTTTTTCCTAGCCATAGGAAGTAACCTTCTGTGTGTTAAATTCTACATTCATATAACGACAGGGTACGTCCTTATTTCCAAATGGACTTGTTTTACCATGTGTTTTGGTATTGTGATGTAGGAAACTGCGTCCAGCCAAGTTAGATTACGGCCCCAACTTTACGTTCACAAGGGTGGCGGGTTAAAGGGTTGTGGACTGCAGTAGAATCGTAGAGTAAGCTCCAGGCTCTCTATCTCAAACGATTTCCTGAACTCCCAAATTGCGACGTCAAGGATGTTGGCAAAAATGTATGGCACTTGAATAAGAGCCGGTGCAAACTATCCGTCTCATTGGGGTTTGCATAGTTTCATCTTTTTCGTGAGAGAGCCTACTAACGCACAATTAATAGCGTAATAGATCGTGAAATGACTGAGCGAAGAGGGTTTATTGCTGATGGAAACACCTGTTAGCTCTACAATTCTGGCCTATAATAAATAAATGAAATCCAAATAGCGATAATATATGAAGAACGAGAGAGAAAAACAGTCCGCACGACTCGCTTGGCTGGTAATTAGAAATCGCAGCCAATACTATTCAAATACCCTCGTTTTCTAAAAAAGGTAAAAACTGTTATTTATATTGTCAGTAAGTCATTCAAAGTCTCTCGCGATCATGAGGGTTCTAGCTCCACCAACGGAGATTTCTTGTGAAAACGCTTCCAACTTTTGGTCGTTGTTTTATTATCCCATATGTTCCATTTATCGTAAAAGGAAACTAGAAAATGTTTTCGCGTTTGCAGGTATCAAAGATGGTGTTTACAATACCAAATATTAAATGTTCTGCTACTATTTGTCAAAGTTTACTCGCACATGTTACTCTACTTTTGCATTTATAGGCCTACGATTCTGATCGTCGCGATCAGTGGGTGTTGGAGTGGCCTGGTCAAGTTGTCTTGTGTGTGTCACAAATATTTTGGACCTTGGAGGTGGCTGAGTCCCTGGACTTCGGCACAGAGGGTCTTGCTGTCTACAAGACCCGCTTGGACGAGCAGATTGCGGCCATTGTTAGGTTGGTGCGTGGCAAACTTAGCGCCGAAGAGCGTATCACTCTGGGAGCCTTGGTCGTCATTGATGTTCACGCGAGAGATGTTGTTGCAGACATGGTATCCAAGGAGGTCAACGATGAGAATGATTTCAATTGGCTATCTCAACTTCGCTATTACTGGGAAGAGGATAATGTCTTGGTAAGAAGATTATTCGTGTTGATCCTGCACGCTTAAAGGTACCCCTTATGTTTCAACTCTTCAAATATCAACTTTTCTAGTAAGAGAGTGTGCGGGTGTGTGACTGACTCTTGCTACAACCACTGCATCTTCTAAAAGTGGTTAATTTCGTGTCGCCAGTAAAAGCATGATTATGTGGAAAACTGTAAACTGTAAAAAAGCTTATGGTAAGACAGGGAAATAGTAACACCCCGTAAAAAAGGTTTCGTGTGCAAAATTGCGAGGAGAATAAATACTATGGAGTTATTGAAATAATCCTGAAACTAATGCTCCTTCAAATCTTAACCTCAGCACTAATCTTCAGCCTAAACTTTGCTCTAAACCTAGCCTTCACACTGACCCCTATCTCTCTAGAAATTAGAACAAGGTCCCATGTTTCGTCAAATGCCTTAACTAAAATATGTATTTCAATGTGTTTCCCAACTTTCTCTGTTTAGTGCTACACTGTATTTACCTTTTCGATCCTAAATTCAACGAAAATGCCTTCATTATCTACCAGCATCTTTTAATTGTGTGCAGAGGCTGATTCGGGAGTAACCTCATTTCCGTTTATATGCCAAGACCGAAGCATTTCTTGTCACAATTCCTGACTAAACTATAACATATTACCTTGGGATTGTTTTATATACAGTAATCTAACTCAAAACTCTACCCCAGGACCTTTTTGTTAATTAAAATTGGCAAAACTGACTTGTAGGGCCCCTCTGGATATCTATCCCCCCGCCCAACCGCTTAAGGTAATTTGTGGTCAAGCATTTAATTTTTGGCTAGGAAGCGTAAATGAATATCTAATTGTGGCGGAAGTGATCAAAAAATTAAATAAAATAAGATTATATCTGTTTTAAAGTGCTAAAAACGAATAAAATTCCATCAAAGTGAACTCCTGTTGCACGGTAAATGGATACCAATTGAGGGAAATTGGACCCTATGTAGGCGAAATTTAACGAAAGTGGAAATTCGACCCCTTATTGGTAGAATTTAACAAAAAAAATGAAAGTTGGGCTGCTGAAAATTTGGAAGTAATTTTTTGTTACAATTCGACGGGATTTTTGGGGCCTCTAAAGTCAGTCCTGCCCTAAAATGTGTATAAGGGTTACATGAAACACCATATGGACAACACAGACACTAGCTAGATGCAGCTTTCAGTCTGCGTATATAAAACTTAATATAATTTACCCCAATGTAGCAACTAACTTCTGAGGAACTCAAAGGTAAAGAAAAACGTTTGGTTTTGTACGAAACTTTTTTATTCTTTACTTGATAGGTCCGACTGACGAATGCCACTGTGCGTTACGCCTACGAGTATCTGGGCAATACACCACGTCTTGTAATCACACCGCTGACAGACAGATGCTACCGTACGCTGATTGGAGCATATCACTTACACTTGAATGGCGCGCCCGAAGGACCAGCCGGAACCGGAAAGACAGAGACAACGAAAGATCTTGCGAAGGCGCTTGCTGTTCAATGCGTTGTCTTCAACTGTTCCGACGGTCTGGATTATATCGCTATGGGAAAGGTACTTTGTTATTTACAGTCAATGTGTCAACCCCCACTCAGCCAAGCATTTGCTGACTGTCCCTTTGTTTTTCATAGTCAATTGTCAGATGAGCAGACGGCTTTTGTTGAAAACTGTCTATCGGACTGAATAGGCTGGTGGCGTCCTGACTTGTTTCTTGGACTTAAGGTCATTATCTTGTATTCCCGATTCAGTATTATCAACCGGGAAATCCTATGAGATGGAAGGTCGGCCATCGCGAACGATACAGCCGCCACGTGTCCCATAGCAGGGCGAGCACAGGGACGGGGACTTGCGCAGCATCTGTTATACTCTCTCCTCCTGCATCCAGTGGAAAGACTGGGTCAGGACGGCTGGAAGTGAAATCAGGCAAAATGGCAAACAAAGCCAAATGGACCGTCTATGCGTGCTACGTACAACTGGTCCGCCGACCATGAACCAAGTTTTCACGGAAACAAACAGAGCAGGCTAGGGCCCAACCTGGGTGTGAGTCTCAGAGGCCATATTAAGAAAGAGCTATCGCAGGGGTTAACTAAGCTAAACCCTGGCAGCTGCAATCTTCAGGCCCGGTTCCCTCGGAAAAAAATAAGTTATGGGAAATCAAAGTGGTAGGAACAGTCTATTCTGTAAAGAAGAAAGTGGGGAATAGGCAGGAGGAAATTGACTATCAGACGAGCCAGCAACCGCCGGCTAGAGCGCCGCGTCTCAAGTGGCGTGAGCATGCAGGATCCCAGGAAGTTCTGGATAGCTTTGTTCCTGCAGCCAATCAGGAAATAGTGCATTCTGATTGGATCGAGTTCTAACAAGGGTTTAATGCCGGGCATTGAAGGGCGACAGCGTGCGCGCAAGGTTTCACAGGCGAAGGCGTCATAATTAAGCGTGTGGCGGACATTCATGTGCGGTTGATCATGGGTTCCAGGTGATGCTAGCGGCCACCGCAGAGTCATTATAATCTGACGCTCCGTCCTGAAAGGACCGACTTTTTTCGTTAATTGACAGCATTCCAAGCAACAACTGTTGGCCCACTATGGTGAATTAAAAGTGTGCCATGCTCTTAGTAATGAGGAAATGCGCTGAAGTTCCACGGGGACAAAGACTGGTTGACTCTTCGTGTTTTCTACGATTAGACGTTCGAAAATGATTTATTCTGTCTCTCACCTCGTCTGACGACTTCTTTGGTTGCATTTTCTAACATTTTTGCCTTATTTCGATGACCTTGAACTCACATTAGTACGCCAGTTGGCCAATGATGACTACACTGATGATATGGTTAGGCTAGCGTCCAGCTATGCTCAACCGAGGGTTGTGTATCTAGTGAACGGTGTCATTGGCTCAGTTATTTGCTCTATTCACATTGCAAACACAGAAGTATTCTTGAGCTGCCAGTTTTATGTGGAGAATTACTCTGCTGTATACGGCCTACAAGTGTGTGGACGCGAACAGTTAAAATTAAATTGGGGAAACATCCTTCCAGATGAATAGCTTATGATGACATTTTCGTCCGGATGTATAACGATAATCACTCGTTATTTCATCCCTTTGCCCCACTTAATCTTTTACAAGACACAAGCATATCCAGGATGCTTAAATTTTAACTGTTAATAGTGAAGATGCAACATGACTCCATTATGCGTTTCTCTTTTAGTTTTTCAAGGGCCTGGCATCGTCCGGCGCTTGGGCCTGCTTCGATGAGTTTAACAGAATCGAGTTGGAGGTCTTGTCGGTCATCGCACAGCAGGCAAGTATAAATCTGATGCTAATGTCGATTTACATTTTAAACTACTACTAAATCAATGTTAGTAACGTTACGAAACTAATATTGTTGCCTCTATAGCTAAGTGGGGTTTTCAACAGCCTCGCCAATACCACCAGGCGTACTGAAAAAAAATTATTTTTTCTTTGCAGATTTTGTGTATTATCAGGGCTGTGCAGGCCCACCTTGAAACGTTCGAATTCGAGGGAACTATGCTCTCACTTAACCCCAACTGCTATGTCTGCATCACCATGAATCCAGGGTATGCTGGCCGATCAGAGTTGCCGGATAATTTGAAGGTAAGCCCTGGTAGCTGATCTGAATATTCCTAAATGAGTAACTTCGGTTAATTCAGATTTTCTTACAATCGCGACATGTCGCTTACGGTCACATGAGGTGTTTTCTCCTTTCTCCATTAGGTCCTTTTCCGACCGGTTGCCATGATGGTGCCCGATTACGCAATGATCGGTGAAATCTCACTCTACTCCTTCGGTTTCATGGACGCCCGAAATTTGGCCGTGAAAATCGTCACCACCTACCGTCTGTGTTCGGAACAGTTGTCCTCACAGTCCCATTACGATTACGGTATGCGAGCCGTGAAGGCCGTGTTGCAAGCAGCAGGCAACTTGAAACTCAAGTTCCCTGAGGAGGATGAGAACATTTTGGTAAGAATTCAATGCTCAATTTAGCTGAACCCACCTAATGTCCCGTTGAATCCAAGAGCCCTTAAAAAACTGTTTATCCTGCTCTACAGCTCCTGCGTTCAATCATGGACGTCAACATGCCCAAGTTCTTGTCTCATGATATCCCCCTCTTCAGGGGTATCATTTCGGACCTTTTCCCTGGTGTTGTTCTTCCAAAGGCTGATTATACCATTTTCCTAAACGAGGTCACTGAGGTCTGTAAGGCTACTGGACTGCAAGACGTGGATGTCTTCACTGAGAAGATCATTCAGACCTACGAAATGATGATTGTGAGACACGGGTGAGTTGGAAGTCAGTTTGTAAGCATAGAAGGAAATACCGTTTATGTGCATTACTTTTGAGATGATTGGATAATTCCAGTTTGTTATCTTGTTTCTCTGAGAGAAGGTTCGATAATGACAGTCAAGTTATCATTTTGGAGGCTTTTGCACTTTGCGACATGCTCCGCCCACTATGGATACTTTTCGGCTTTTGAGTGAACTGCTAACCTCAGTATCCATATACAATGGAGGACTATTTATAGGCAGATGCGCCGACTTATGACTGCATACTTTTTAATTTACTGTCTCATTGCTTGACAAGAAACGGTAAACTTGCTGGTCAAGACTGACTTACTGTATGGAGAAGAACTTTGTTACCATCCTACCGGCAAAGCTGGTATTTTCATTTGCCGGGATGATCCGGAGTATTGGTCAGATAAGTCGAAGTCAACGGCCGGCGGTTACTGTAAATATTTTCCATTAGCGTGGCGGTGGTGAGCACTAGAGAGAACCTCCGATCCTTTTAAAGACTAGGACACTTAAACGTTGGTTTCAGCTTTGCTTCGTGTATGACTGCTATAGCAGTGACTGGATTTACCTAGTAAAGAAGCAGCGGTAGTGTTGACACCGTTTCAACTATGCTGTCCGAGTAAGGGGAATCGTAGACATCTAAATCCAATGCGAATCAATGAGCCGAGAGTGATAAAGAAACCAGTATAAATAAAAAGCATGAATATTTACAAATTAGGAATTATTCGATGTGTACATTTCTATCGTCATCATCAACAATGAAACACCGTGTAGCGCGGTACCCTGGTTCTTGGCGTCTGACAGCCATGATTCTGAGAAAGAGTTTGTTCTGATTGACGCAAAGAGCTTACTTTTAGGTACGATGAAGTACCTCATCGCGGAAAGCCAACTTACTAGGAAGAACGGAAGCGCACGAACCAACCTCAACAAAGTTACTCCGCGGTGGGAGGGGGGGGGTCTGCGGTGACTGTTGTTTGGCGATGAAGTATTGAGGTTTGTTGTTGGAGTCTAAGTAGACATCACGCAGCCAAGACAGTTCTGGGAGTGCAGTTATGATGGGTGATGAAAAGATGCAAGTGTCAAGTATGAGCTGCCTGACTGAGCCCACCATTCACTTCTTATAGCTCAAAAGCGCCATTACTTGTACGTTACGTTTGAGCTTTCGACGTCAAGAATAAGCGTACCTGCATTGTGTGCTAACTGGCACATAGAATTATTAGAATTTGAGATTACATGGGTTCTGCGTTTTGAGTGTTATTAGCAGGGGTCGCAGGCTTAGCTCGTAGGGAAGGAATTACAATGTGCAGTTAATATTCTTATCAGTTCAGGATGGCGACATATATCCTGGCCTGATTCAGTGAAGGAAAACCTGCCTATGACCCTTTAAGGACTTTTAACATTAAAGTAGATGCTGACTTGCGTTTATTTGTCGATTTTTTACCCTATGGTATTGAAAACAGGCTCTTTCCTCTTCAGATTTATGCTTGTCGGCATGCCCTTGGGAGGGAAAACAAAAGTTCTCCATACCCTGGCGCAAACTATGACCAATCTGGCTGCGAAGGGCAACGCTGAATATCCGAAGGTGCTTTACCGGACAATCAACCCCAAATCCATCACCATGGGACAGCTTTTTGGTCAGTTTGACCCAGTTTCTCACGAGGTTAGTTCTGCATTCTTTTATCTATCTTCCCTTGGCTTCGAATATCTGACTTCAATGTAAGCCGGCCGCTTTGAACCTTTTTCCTCTGTATTATAAGGTGATCCTAGGCGTCCCACTCAGGGACTGACGACATAAGGATAGCCTCCATTTGGAACTTGTTAGCCTTACTACTTACTTAATTACTTGATTCGATTAGCTCCTGTTGGATGAATCAGCATCACGGATAACTTCTTAGCCTTGCACATGCTTTAGTCAAAACTGATTTTGCTCGCCACCAAAGCCCATTATCCAGGGTGTTTTCGTTGTATGTTCGGGGAAGAGATTGTGGCAACAAAACCATGGCCAAATTCGAGTTAGCGGTTGAAAGTAGAATACAAGGAGGTCGGAATGCCTCCCTCCCCACGACGGAACACGGTAATAAGAAAATCCCTTCTCACGTAATACAGGTAGTCTTGCGCTAAGTTTCTGGAAGGCGAAATGCTCTCGTGCCCCAAACCTTAATCGTAACACTTACCTTATATTTCCTGCTCCCATGTCCTGTTGTCGGGAGCCATATTAGCCATTTTTGTCGGCATGGGATTTGTTTTCTGTCTTACTCGTGGTCCTGTGGAGTACAATGGATATTTCATCTTAAGGAAGCTTTCGTAAGCCATGAAAATATGTAACAACTTTATATTTAAAAAATGGTGTGTGTACTCAACTCGGCTACATTTGAGACATTACTAACGGCCTATCATGGAGCTACGCTTTTCACTCTAGCTGCAATCGTTTTGCCAGTCACTAAAGCTCTCTCGATAATTCTGAGTTCTTTATATAAAGGATAGGATTCTAACCGGGCCTAAGGGCACCACAAACTAGACAGCTGCAGCATTACTACCGTGGCCAATATGAACGTTAACCAGTCTAGTTTCATTTTTGCACTGAAGCTCCAGCCCATTTTGACTTTCGTTTTCCTCTGAATGAAAACCTGCCTTTATGTATGCTGTACCTAGTGGACGGACGGGGTTACGGCCAACACCTTTCGCGAATACGCCTCAATGGAGTCCTCTGATCGAAGTTGGGTTATCTTCGACGGGCCAGTTGACACCCTGTGGATTGAGAGCATGAACACTGTGCTGGATGATAACAAGAAGCTCTGTCTCATGTCGGGTGAGATCATTCAAATGTCCAAAACGATGAGCCTCATCTTCGAGACAATGGATCTGCTGCAGGCGTCAGTGAGTTCCGGGATATTTGCTGCCGTTTTTATTTAGGCAATTTGACCTTTAACATCCGAACTTTTTAAAAATCATTTGCAATACTAGATGGTGTTGTGTGTTACACTAACTTGAGCATTTGCTGGTGGTTAAAACGTTTGAGCATGCATTCCCTATTAGCAAATCGGATTAGACACGAATCCGATTCCAGCTCGACTTGCATCCAACGTAGTGTTCGATTCCAACTCTACAATTGCTCTACAATGTAGAGTCCTAATTTTCATCCGAGCAGGGGTTACCCTATTCCTCGCCAAAACCCCCCAATTCGAAACGCAGTAGATCAGCACTTTTTTGGAGACGTGTAAATGTTGGGAAAATGTACTCTGTAGAAAAATATGGTTAAAAACGGTAGAAAAAATATACAAAACGTAAAATATAATCTGGGCGCTAATTACAATTGGCGACTGTAATTAGAGTTCATATTATCCATTTTGGACGGGAAATGGGTACTGGATGTTTGGCCGGGGTTAAAACGGTAGAAAAAATATAGAAAACGTAAAATGGAATCTGG